ACACACACACACACACACACACACACACACACACACACACACACACACACACACACACACACACACACACACACCCTGGTCTCTTTTGCAAAGCAGCCAAAGCGTTTTAGGCTTTTATATGTCTTCCCATTAAGCAGAGTCAATTATTCATGAGTCACTAACTGACCACCATCCCTCTCTGCCTCCCACTCTGTGTGTGATTCTCTCACAGCTGCTGAGCCTGAACCCGACGCAGCAGCTTTTAGTTATTAACTCGGATCTTTGTGTAGAAACGTGATTGATTCATTGTTGGAGTCGATCAGAAGCTTTAAAACATAAAAACACAGAATTTGAACTTTTAGTTTTGAAGAACGTGTATGACATGTTCATAGTTTAGGTCTTTTATTTACATTAATTCAGAGTTAGGAGCTGGTTTTCCCCATCATCCTCAGTGAAGCATGGTGGTGGCAGCATTATGCTGTGGGATGTTTGAGTCAGTGAACATTCACACTGCATTTATGTGAAACAATAAATAAATAAATTCATTAAATAAATTAAATAAAGTATACTAGTTTTTCCAAGATGAAAATTCTGATAACAAACCAACATCCAATTCTGATATTTTGCACTAAATGAAAATGAGTAATGAGCATTTATTTTATAAACAAGTGGCCTGACCTGGAAGTTCTCTCTGCCCAGATACACCCTGTAGAGTCGTTTCATACATGATGTTTGTGAGAGGCAGGTTTCCGTCAGGCCACTCGTCTCAAAAAATGTAAAACAATAAATCAAAAGTGAGCACTTCGGTCAGTGTACTTTTTGGTCATTTGATTTTTCTTTTAAAAACAAATAATGGAAAACGGATAGTCATTTGTTTTTTCACTTTCAAAACAGATATTGAAAAATAAAAAACATATTGGTAAAACAAAAAATGGATGTTTTTTTTTGTATTTTATACTCCAAAATAGGTGTGTAAGAAAATATCGATACTGAAATATCGCGATATTTCAGTGTATCGATATTTTCTTACACCTCTAATCTGTGGCAAATCGGCCAATCCAATCCAGAGTTAGAGCTCTGTCGAATTGATACTTCTAGTTTTTTAACAATTTCAGGAAGAAATATATTTCTTTGATCAGTGTAAATTTTAATAAATAGAGTTTGAAGTTAGTCAAACAACAAATAGCAAAAACTGTTCCTACCATATTTTATATGTAGTCTTTTTGTGTTTATTTTAATATTACTAAAAGTTACTCTATTTTTTATGCTGTTAATTTGATGTTTAGCAACTAAAGATGCTACATGCTAACAGATGGTGGCCAACACGTCCAGCGCTGCTTTAAGATGGGATAATTTTATATAATTTGTCATAAATTACTATAAAACAGAAGTTTTACACTTGTAATTTTTTTGTGGTCTTAAAATTAGCAGAACCTTATTTAGCATTAGCTAATCTGTCCGCTAACTGTTTCCAGAGTAAGCAATAAAGTTAATCTGCTAAATGAGAAGCTAATTCTGCTATTAGCAGGTTCTGTTTCAATCCATTAAAAGGTAATTCTTGAACCATATGTTTCTGTTCTCATGGACAGAAAGTCAGGTTTTGGTTGTGAAAATGTTTGACTAAGTTTGAATTCATATAAAAATTTGAGTTTGTCACATTTTGTGCGTCTGACTCGTGCAGAGACACCTGCTGTAAAAACTCTGCCTGGAAAATATCCAGTCGGAGTTTTCTCCTTTAAAATAATAACACAATCAGATTTTAAAATAATCTGATTTTCTGTGTCTTTGTTGATCATTTTGTTTGATTTATGAGACTTCATCAGAGTTGTAAAGGAAGTACAAATACTTTGTTACTGTACTTTAGTAGAATTTTGGGTATCTGTAGTTTGAGTAATTATTTTTCAGCGTACTTTTTACTTTTACTTATTACATTTTTACACAATTATCTGTACTTTCTACTCACTACATTTTTAATAAAGGTAAAAAGTGTCATTACTCCTGTTTTATTCTGAGTTACTACATAACAATGATAAACTGTGTCTCCTATAGAGTGAATTTAATTGTGTTTGGATGAGAAGTATAAATATATACCATTCTGACACACTATTAGCTTGTACACAACCCATCACAGCTGCACGCTGTTAGAAAATATAGTTTTTGGAGAAGTCACCTCCCAATAAATGTCATTTTGGAAAATCTAACTGCTCACTTTTCCCTTATGTCGGCTTCCTGCTTTGTGGGTCGCGTCTGTGGTCCCCCACAGTCACTTTGAAATATTCCACGGGAGAGATCCATGCATGATC